ATATGGAAAGGCAAAGGAACCAGAGTAGCTAAAACTGTTCTGAAAAAGAAGAATAAAGTGAGGATAGTCAGTCTATTTGATTTAAAGACTTGTTACATAGCTGTAGTAATCAAGATTGTGTGGTATTGGTGGACAGACAGACATAGATTCGTGGAACAGAACAGAAACTGCAGAAATTAGACACATAAATACTTCCAGCTGTTTTTTGACAGAAGAGTAAATTAAAAAAAAATAGAGGGAAAGTAGGTTTTTCAACAAATACTGCTGGAGCAAGTGGGCATCAATGGTCCAGAAAAATGAACCTCAATCTGAACCTCACACTGTATAGAGAATTAACTCAAAATGAATCATGAACTGAAAGGTAAAACGTGAAACTTAAATCTTTTAGAAAAAACATAGGATAAATTCTCTGGGCTCTTAAGCTGGCGACAAGGGTTCTTAGCGTTGACACCAAAGGCATGATCCATAAAAGGAAAACTGATAAACTGGACTTCCTCAAAATTAAAAATTTTGCTCTGTGAAATCCATTGTTGGGAGAACGAAAGACAAGCTACAGACTGAGAAAATATTTACAGACCACATATGTGATGAGGGACTAAATATCTACAATATATAAAGAGCTCTCAAACTCAATAATAAAAAAATTTCAGTTAGAAAATTGGCAAAAGACACGAAGAGACATTTCTCGACACACAGAATATACAGGCGGCAAGCTCATAAAAAGGTGGTCAATATCGTCACTGGCAGGAAAATAAAAGTTAAACCTACAATGTAACATCACTACAGTCTTATCAGAACGGTTAAAATAAAAATAATGGCAAATGTTGGTAAGATTGTGGAGAAAACTTTATCACTCATACATCAATGGTGGGAACGTAAAATGGTACAGCCATAGTCTGGGAAATGGGAGGAAGAGGAGGAATTGGGTGAAGGTGGTCCAAAGGTACAAACTTCCAGTTATAAATAAGTATTAAGGATGTAATTATGTACCACATGGTAAATATAATTCACACTACCATATGTTATATATGAAAGTTGAGAGAGTTAATCCTAAGAGTTCTCATCACAAGGAAATTTTTTCTCTATTTAATTTTGTATCTATATGAGATGATAGATGTTCACTAAGCTCACTGTGATCATCATCTCATGATGTACGGAAGTCAGATCTTGATGCTCTACACCTTAAACACATACAGGGCTGTACGTCAATTATGTCTTAATGTAACTGGAAAAGTTAACACGCTAAACAGTAAGATCCAAGAATTGACCTCTTGGGCATTCAAGAAATGAAAACTTACGTTCACATTTATTTTAATGGAGTGGGGGATTGAATCCAGGACCTTGTGCATGCTAAGCATGCGCTCTACCGCTGAGCTATACCCTCCCCTACCCCACAGAACATTTCTTGAAATGATAAAATTAAAGAAATGGAGATCAGATTAGTGGTTGCCAGGGGTTCAGGAGGAGGAGGCGCTGGGAGGTATGACTATAACAGGGCAACAGTGAGAAATCCTTATGAGGACAGAATGTTCAGTGACTGCATCTCTCTCAGCATCCTGGTTGTGGTACTGCACTATAGTTTTTCCAGGTGTTACCACTGGGGGAAACTGGGAAAGGGTATATACAGTGTCTCGTTCTTTCTTGTTTGAAAGAGCTTTATTGTGAAATAATTCACACACCAAACAAGCCATTTAAAGTGTAGAATTAAATGTTTTTTAGTATATTCACAGATACGCACAACTATCACCACAGTTAATTTTAGATGATAACATTTTACCCATACACCCCTCTTCCCAGCTATAAGCAATCACTAAGCTACATTAATTTCTCTGTAGATGTTTCTATTGTAGATGTTTAATATGAATGGAATCATATAATTCACGGTATTTTTGTGACTACCTTCTTTCACTTAGCGTAATGTTTGAAGGCTCATCTGTCTTGTATCAGCACTTCATTCATTTTATGGATGAGTGATATTCAATTGCACATAAATATATTACATTTTATTTATCCATTCATCAAGTGGTGAATATTTGGTTTGCTTTCACCTATTGGCTACTATGAATAATGCTGCTATAAAACTTCTTGGACATGTTTTTTGTATGAACATATGTTTTCACTTCTCATGGGTGTATATCCAGGAGTGGAATTGCTGGGTCATGTGGTAACTCATGTTTAGTGATTTGAGGAATTGCCACACAACGTTCCAAAGTGGCTGCAAAATTTTACATTCCCCCAGCAGTGTATGAGGGTTACTGTTTCTCCACATCCTTGTCAAGTCTTGTTACCTGACTTTTTGATCTTAGCCATCCTAGTGGGTGTGATGTGGTATCTCATCCTGGTTTTGATTCACACTTACCTAATGACTAATGATGTCAAGTATATTTTTTGTAATAGAGAAGAACAAATCTGACTGCATATTAGATCTGTTCCTTTGGCTTTAACCCCGTGCCCTGTTTTCTAGGCTTAGTTTTGCTAGCTCTGCACTCATGTAAAGATAGTTAAGTTCCAGAATAGAGAATAACATTTGTTTTGTTGGAGGTTTTGCAGAAGCACTGTGACCTGGCCCCACATGGACAGCTGCTGGAACAAAAAATTCCTACACCAACAAGTTTGCAACAATCAACCACACCCCCTCTCCTTTTTTTTGTATTCAAGGAGGCTGTATTCTGATTGGGGGAGGATGGTTCTCCAAGACAGTCTGCCATCCTCTTAGTCTGCCAGCTTTCCGAATAAACTCACTATTCCTGGTCCCAACACCTCATCTCTGGATTTATTGGCCTGTCAGGTGGTGAGCAGAACGAGTCTGGACTCGGTAATAGTACTGCTACCCAGAGAAAGTTACTATTAGTGCTCAGGTAGGTTTCCTATTTCAGGCATGGTTTGCTTGGTGGTTTGATGTGGTTCTGGTCATATCTATATCTATGTGTATATCTTGCATTTAAAAAAATATGCTTTTAGAAATTTTAGCTAAACATTAAATGGAGATAAAAACACTCTATAGTCTTATGTTGATAGAGCATGTGCCAAATTTTAACCATTCCATTCCCAGTCATTAGACTTTTAGATGTTTTACAATTTCTGCTATTACAAATAAATCTGTGGTAAGTTACATTTTGCATGATGCTTTTCCTACAGATTAAATTATGTCCCAGGATAAATCCTTGCAATGACAAGGTTTGAAGGGTATGAGTTTATTTAGGCTCTTGTTTTCCAAGAGTTTTACCCATTAACTTCTTACCTGCAAAAGATTAAATGTTCCACTGAACTTTCACCAGCACATTAGGAGAATCTTAGATATTGCCTAGATATTTTAAAGTTTCAGAAATACTTACTTTACATATAGCTTTTGAGGAAGACAACAGGCAGGTCTCTCATTCTTAACTTGCCTCTACAGTTCTCAAAATTACCAAGTAGAAAACAGCTGAAGTCATAAGCACTGGTGGAAATGCAGGAAATATCCAATATTAAGCAATAATTACTACCAGTATAGATAATAGGTTATTGGATGTTGGGCATGTATGCAGACAAGCAAAAACAGGCAGTTAAGATTTAAAAGAATTTCCCGACTTCTTTCTGAAACCTTTACTGACCATTGATGTGTAAAAAAAAAAGTGGGGTTTTTTGGTAAGGCAGTTAAATAAAAAAAAAATATTTCATAGACTTTCTGAGTATGAACACTGAAAAAGTCAACTATCCTATTTTTACTAAGGTAATAGCTGAGAATATCTGTAAAAAGTACGTTGTATTATCAGGATCAAGGGCTCAGCGGTTAAGTTGGCGAGGCCTCGGCATCCTGTCCCACTGGGTCCAGGACTCTCCAGCCTCTCCAGCTTTCTTCGGGTCAACCTGGAGACGAGCGCTGGGCCTCAATTTCCTTCCTCAGGCCTATTAACACATGCTCTGAGCGGAGACCGAAGACGCAGGACAGGTGAGTAATGGAAGGACACCTCGGATATCTGTCCTGATCCTAGAATTCTTTCAGCTAAACATCCACATTTCCAGCCCTAGGAGGAAAATGGAAACTGATGAATTAGTCTCCATCATCTGCCTTAGGGCTAAAGGAGAAATTACTGCGCTTCGCTTACACAACGAAACTCAACTCCAAGCTCCCCACCCCATCCTCGTCTCCGCCCTTCACTATGAAAGAGGACCCAACACGCCCACCACGGGCGAGCGGCAGTGACGTCAGCCTCAAGAGGCGCATGCGCTGTGCTTTGGGTCCCTTTCTGCGCTTTTCCACCTACGGGCCGGACGGTCTCGGCGCGGCCGGAACTACAGTTCCCAGCGGCCCGTGCGGGGCGGTCTCGGTGCAGCTGGAACTACAGTTCCCAGGGCCCGCGCGGCGGGGGCGGGAGGCCGGACTGTGTGAGGGAGGCCAGGGCACAGCGGGCCGAGCGGCCCGCTCCTCCTCGGGAAGCGGTTTGCAGCTCTTTC